GAGAGAGAGAGAGAAGAGACAGGAGAGAGAGAGAGAGAGAGAGAGAGAGAGAGAGAGAGAGACGCTCGTCGGAACGCTCCAATCAGGGCCATTCTTCACAACTCCCTGCTGCCTCCAGAAAGAAGTTAGACCCAAACTGACGCTATTTCACACACTCGGCCGCCGGAAGCTCGTCCCTCCCCTCGCCCTTCCACATCCGTTCTGGCCCCTCCTCCGCCACCCCTATCTCTCTTCTCCAGCCCCTCACTCGTCCACTTCCTTCAGCACTTCCATTAGCAACATGGCTGCGCCACATCGAAAAGAGCACGAGTCCAGAGGAGCAGGACTTTTTCGCCACGCCGCAGAATAGAAGGTATCGGATCGACCGACCGCGTGATCGCAGGGGTCCGTGACTTAACATACAATAAGCACCTCATAAAGTTTTGTTAACCATTAATGCTAAAACCTATAACGTCTTGCATGACACTTAACAAGATACAAAAATAACAAATAAATTTACAAAAATAAGTAATAATAGCAAACGTGGTGCTCGGCACGGTTCTCAGTACGGGGGCGGTCAGCACTAGCAAGACGGCGACGCTCAGCACGGCGGCGCTCTGAAGCTCGAAGCTCGGAAGCGGTTAGCGCTCAGCAGAGCGGATAACAGCGCGCCCGCTCCGCTAGCCCCCGGCGCCCCCGGCCGGCGCACACAGTGCGAGTGGAAATAGGGTTAGACCCGGGGGCTGAAAGCTGTCTGGGGCCGTTACCCGCGCCGGGATGGCTCCACGGGAAGGTACCTGCAGCCGAGCGGAGGGTGGCGGCGTCGCCTCCGTCATCGCCAGGGCCGGGCGAACTGTGCCTGCACTGTGAAAACCGAGAGGGCAGCAACCCTTACTATTGCCTTGGGATCGTCCGATAGTCCAAAAAGTGCGTCCGTTTTTTTTTCTCCAGTCATTTGGAGTCATTCGGCAGACTACGGGACGGGGGGCTGCTCAGCGCCTGCGAGACTCGGGGTAGGCCAGCCCGCAGTACACACATGCACTGCAGGGCAGATGTTGCCTACCCAACAGGCGCTCTGAGAGCTTCGCAGAGGCTAAACGTGTGGCAGATTAGTAACGGCCAATGGCGGGCGGACGTACTTTTTGCTCTCTCTCTCTCTCGCTCTTTTTGGGTAGTGTGGCAATACACCACTTTCTCGCCCAAGTGACTTGGGCGAGAAAGATGACTCCCACGTTTACAGTGAGTTTCTTTTGCGCCTGTCGTGTGGCAGCTGGAGCGTCCTCTAGTAGGGTACAGCCCCGCTGTTGTGCGTATGAGTCTAATCGCACGGAACTGTCTCATGCACGCCCCAC